AGGCATCAGAATTGGAGGGCAGAGAGGTCCGAATTTTCCTGCTCTTGCTGTCTCTCTCTGTCAAATAAATAAAATCTTTAAAAAAAAAAATAAAAAGTTATATTAAATTCCATGAATTTCCACAAAGTGAATGCATCCTGTACCTAGCTCCTAGAATGCCCACGCCCAGACGGAAAGGCGGAGAAAGGGCCGGACCCCTGCTTGCATGAAGCGGGGCCTCAGAGGGCTGGCTCTTCTGTGATAAGAGACCTAGAAAATTGGTCAAGGAAGGCTAAGGAAGGCTGCCATCTGCCCAAGGCTCTGCGTACGGAATGAAAGCTTCCTGGAAAGAGTCAGCTCCCCTGATTCTTACATGCCTGCAAGGAACAGGCCTCCCAAGCCGAGAAATGAACACCACCCCCATTTAAGACTGGTGGGATCCCTGGATCCTTTCAGAGGCAAACCAGAAAGGCTCTTAGGATCCTTCCATGACCCAGGGAGCAGAGAACTGTTTGGAAAAAAAACACTCTTTGCCCAATATGAGCTTAAAAAAAACCACCACTCAGAGGAGAAAATGAACACATTTGGTCAGGCAGTGTCTTAATACTGGCTCAGGAGCTGCAGTTTCTTTTCCCTACTGCAAAGTGAACCTTTGAAATGTAAACATGGATCACTCTGTTAGAGGGAGATCACCCAGTAGGACACAGTCTTTCATCACCTACAAAGTCCTGCATCAATTGGCCCACATTTCTTGCCACTCACCCCACACACTCTGCTCAAGACACATGCGTCTCCTTGCTGTTCCTCAAAGGCCTTGTTATGGATTGTGTCCCCTAAAAAGATATGCTGAAATCTTCACCTCCGCTACTTGCAAATGTGGCCTTATTTGGAAATAGGGTCTCTGCAGATGTAATTAAGATGTGGTCAATAGGGGTAGGCCCTTAGTCCAATATGACCAGTGTCCTTAGAAGAGGGGAAAGCTGTTACGAAAGGACAGACACATGGACAAAGATGGAGGCAGAGATCCAGTGATGCAGCTGCAAACCAAGGAACATCAAGGATTGCTGGTCACTCCTAGAAGCTGGGAAGAAACAGGGAAGGATTCTCCCCTACAGATTTCAGAGGGAGCATGGTCCTGTTGGCACCTTAATGTGGGAATTTAAGCCTTCTGAGCTATACATTTCTGTGGTTTTAAGCCACCTTGTTTGTGGTATTTTTGTTCCAGCAACCCTAGGAAACTAACAAGCCTCAAAAGTGTTCCTGCCTTGCTCATCCCTCTGTTTGCAGAGCCCTTCCACAGAGAGCCTCCCTGACTCCCCACAGGTCCCTGCTCCATGCCACCTCTGCAGAGAGACCATGTCCAACGTGCACCCCTGAATAGCAACTTCTGTCCCTCTCCACTCCCTTGCCTCTTCTATTTTTCTTCATGGTCCCAGTCATAAAAATATTATATAGTATATCTTTCATTTATTGTATTCGTTGCCTTCAAAAATGTAAGTTTTGTGAAAGTAGAGACAGTCCAATTCATTGCTGCAAACCCAGTGCCTAGCACGTGCCTGACGCAGGCAAGCTGTCCATGCATATTTGTTTAATAAATGAATGAGCTCCTCGAGAGTACAGTTTACCCTTTATGTTTTTATCCTTCCTGTTGCCTGATACAATGCTTTGCTTATCACGGACTCTCAGGAAATGTGTATAGATGGACAAATAAGCCCATCATCACTCGTGGGCTTGAGGCTCTGCGTGGTGAAGAGAGGAAGTCAAAATGCACACCACATTGGCCTGTATTGGGTGGCCTCTTTGCTGTAAAACAATTGTGGGGACCATCGATCCGATGTCTCTGAGTGATCGTTACAGCTCACCATTTGTCTGCCTCGTCCAGCCACTGTTTCTCTTGTACTGCAGATCGCCCCTTCTTGCCCTGTTGTTTTTCTGATTAAGGAGACAGAATTGAGTAATCTAAATTTAGTGTGTGTAGCTCAGAGGTGCCAATCATGACAAATAATGAATTAGGTGATCCCCCTGCCCTTCCCTGAAGCATTGAGCTGAAACCAACAAGTTCATTTTATTTAGGACCAAAGGCTGAACTCAGAGTGTTGTCTGTGACAGGAGACTGCTTTCTTCACTAATTAAGTCACCCGGGCTCAGAAAACCCTCTCCGGTGTGGTGGGGGTGCGGCTTATCAGTTGGCCCAGAGACTGTGCCTTTGGCCTTCTGTTTGCTAAGGGAAGTGGTAGATACATTTGTTACAAATATGTAAGCGAGAAAAAAAATGCATTTATGTGTACATACACACACACACACACATATATAAATCTCATATACTTTTATAAATTTCTTTAGCCTTTTAAAGACTTTTCTGGTTTTCTTAGTAAACCCATATTTAGAATTCACAATTTCTGGGGCACCTGGGTGGTGCAGTCAGTTAGGCATCCACCTCTTGGTTTTGGCTCAGGTCATGATCTCAGGGTCGTGATGTCAGGGGCATGAGATCAAGCCCTGCATCAGGCTCCATGCTCAGCTGAGTCTGCTCTCTCCCTCTCCCTCTGCTCCTCCTTCTTGTCTCTCTCAAATAAATAAATAAATCTTTAGAATTCACAATTTATGGGTTAAGGGCTGTATTTTCTAATCAGTTTTGAAAAGGACCTGTATAAAACATTTTATTTGCTTTCATAAAAACATAAAAATTTACTTGTTGGAAAGCTATTATATTTGATGTTTGTAAGAAATGAGCCATTGATTAGAAATAATAATTTTCATGATACTCTCTGTTCTGGAAAAATAATGAAGTTCTGTTTCCATCTATGACCTTTGAGTCTTCATTTATTTATATTTTTATTTTTTGATCTATGAGTCTTAATATGTGCATGGGGGGGTTATACACGAGGGATTTTGAATGGACCTTTTTCAATTTAGTAAAAATGAAAATAAAAGATGTAAATAAAATGTATGAAGCAGGGCACCTGGGTGGCTCAATCGGTTAAGCGTCTGCCTTTGGCTCAGGTCATGATCCCAGGGTCCTGGGATTGATCCCCACGTTGGGCTCCCTGCTAGGCAGGAGCTTGCTTCTCCCTCTCCTCCCTGCTCGTGCTCTCTTCTTGCTATCTCTGTCTCTCTCTCTCTCAAATAAATAAAATATTAAAAATAAAATAAAATGTATGAAATGGTGCTAATTCTTTTTTTTTTTAATGTTATTATGTTGATATATTTAATAAAGCACATGTTGCTAGTTCCTTTCTCCTCTCTGGTCAGATACCCGTCCCAGCTGTTGATTATGCGAGATTTTGGCACCTTTGTGCATTGTCACTAATCATGGGCATTTCCCTAGGAGGGGCCAGAAGACTCCTGTTATCTCTACCTTGCAGAAGGGGCACAGCCCTGGGGATGGAAGAGTGACTTATCCAGAGCCTTCCAGAGTAGCTGAGAAGAGCCCGTGCATTTCAAACATCTAAAACCCTCAGTCTTTCCTAGTTCTCTGGACCTGTCTACACTTTGTCCAGCATAGCAGTTCAAAATGTAGAGCTTTTTTTGTGGCAGCTTGCTTAAAAGAAATGGGTTTAAGCTTTAGGTAGAGAAGTACATTATAAAGATCACCTCTAAAGGGCAAAATAAATGAATATAATTTAATCATGAGAGTAGAGAGTTAGCAAAATATATAGGAAAGCAGTTTGGAACTTGGAGCAAGTTTTACTATTCATTTCTCAGGGAACATCTCCTTTTTGGATCTGAAAGTCACGTAGGTAATATGAAAGACAATCCATTTAATGTGATATTTTACATTTGGCTTATAACCATAAGGAGGACCAACTTTAATAATAAACTAACTCAATCAGGAACATAAATTTTATGCTACAGATAGGTGATTTTCAACTCAATCTAGACTCCATCTTCTCAGAATATTCCATGGAGCTTGCCCCCTTACTTCCTTCAGGCCTTTGTCCAGATGTCAGAACTTCTCTGACCCATCTATTTCATTTTTTTAAAAAGATTTTATTTATTTATTTGTTGGGGAGAGAGAGCACAAGCAGGGGGAGTGGGAGAGGGAGAAGCAGGTTTCCTGCTGAGCAGGAAGCCCAACACAGGGCTTGATCCTAGGACTCTGGGATCATGACCTGAGCCCAAAGGCGCACTCAACCGGCTGAGCCACCCAGGCGTCCCATCTATTTCAAATTGCGTTAGCCTCCCTTTTCCCCAACTCCCTCATGTTGCTTCCTTCTTCTTTCTAACGCTTATCATCACTCCAAATAATACATATTCTGATTATTTTTTCTCTCCCTTAACCCCCACATAAGACATTTGTCTGCTCTGTTCACTGTTATTTTTCCAGGCACTCAGTAGGTGGTCAATACTTGTCCAACGAATGAATAATGCCTGAGACCTTTCTGTTCCAAGGTTGGTCTTGTACTCCAGGATGCACAATGAACAATGGGCAGGGTGGGCATGTGGAAGTGTGGGAATGCAGGAATGGCTAGAAAGGAGGGAGGTGCCTGCCCCGTGTGCGGGATTGGGGCCTGATAGCTACCTTGCAACGGTGCGCAGATATACCCACACACTTCACCATGCCATCCCTCCCAGAAGCGCGTTTGCTGGACTGGCCTTCACTTTTCCTATGTTCCCCTTTTCTCCTGTTAGCCGTATAATGTTTGCTTTCTGTTCCGACCTGTCAAACTCGGCTTTATAGAGATGAATAATATGTCATTCATGAGTGTCTCATATAAAACAATTCTTTTTCCTATTCTGAAAACCAAGCATAACAAAACTGGGTCGGCACAGTTGTGAGGTAACAAGGCAAGCGAACTGGAGAATTGAGGTAAAAGCATCCTCCTATCTCAGGAATAGAATTGGAAATGTCTGGAAAGTCTTTGCTGAGTTGTGGCTACGGTTCCTGACTTGGCCAGTTTGGCAAATGCAACCAGGGCATTCGTTCAGGGTGATCAGGGGCGGAGCCGAGCTCCAGGGCTGGGAACTGCCGCGCGGAGGGGCGCGGCCACTAGCGCGCACCCAGCCCCTTTTACCCCCAGGGACCGCCGGGCGGCGGGGCTGGCTCCCGTGAGGGGCGTGTCTTCCCTGGCCCCGCCCCCGAGGCTCCGGCCTGGCCGGCCGCGAATGAGCAGGCGCGCCGCGAGGGCTCAGGGGGCAGCGACGCGCGATAAGGCGGCCTAGGGTGGCAGTGCCAGCAGCTCGGCGCCTTGGGGACCGACACCCGATCGCGCCACCGCGGGAGGAGTCCGGGTCCTGGGCCGAGGCAACCCCGGGAATGCTTTCAGGCAGCACAAACATGGCTGCGGCCGTGCGAGCTGCGAGAGCCCTGCTCCGCGATCGGCGTAAGTGAGGCTGTCGCGGCCGCCACCGCCGCCGAGGTCCCTGCGACGCCCGGGGCAGGGGGCAGCGGGCAGCTAGCGCCGGGGTCCGCCGACCTGGGGGCTTCCGGGAGCGGAAGCAGGAGGCTCCGCGCGACGGGGCGAGGGGCGCCGTGGAGGTGGGACAGGAAAGGGGTCGTCCCCTGGGAGGGCGAGAGGGGGTAAGTGGGTCATCTGGGGGCCCTGGGGCACCACCGGTCAGCTGGGTGGCCATGAGCAGTGCCGGAATTTGCCAGCGCCTTAGTTCTTATCTGTAAAATCAGTAATGAGAGACACGGGGTTGTTGTGAGCATTACGGGAGAGAGCGTGAGTTAAGGACCTGCCACTGAGGATGGTAACTAAGGCATCGTCGTCATCACCACGGACATCTGTCCTGAGGTTCCCTCGCTGGTGATGGAGGTCGCAGTGTGCCCACTGCTGCTGAATGGTGACTGGACACAGACCTGACTTAGTTTTTCTAAACAGTCCCACAGTTCATCAGTCTGGTGCCTACGGAGAAGGAATGGAGAGAATCCACTTTGAATTTACATATCTTATTACAGGTGCCTTTGTGAGGAAAATAATAAAGACCCAGTTTATACTGAGGGTCAGGTCACTAACGGTACTGGAGCAAAAGGCATTATTTTTTAAGAAGAGGAAGCACAATGCCAGTAACGGGGCTGAAAGATGTATTGAATTAATGTTTTCTTTCTTTGGCTCTTTCTGTGGCAAAATTTGACAGGTTCTACATTTGAGGTCGTAGAACAGTTTGAGAAACTTTAAATGATTTGTTGTCCAGATTATAGGTGACTAAGTGGAAGGATTCAGAAACATAACAAGAGTGGATTTGAAGTCAATTGAATTATGGACTCTCATTTTAGGATGTAGTTATAATACTTTAATAATCCTTTTGAAATGAAGGAATTAACATTATCTGGGTTAGAAAAAATTGGGTAGTGTTTCTGAAAACAAATTCTGAAAGTAAAAGTGTAAAAGCAAAGTTTTACACCATGTATCAATAAGAATCAATAAGAAGCTCCCTGGTGTGGGCCACATACTGTGTATACTATATATATATTTAAATTACAAAGTTGGTAGATTAGGGGCGCCTGGGTGGCTCAGTTGGTTAAGCGACTGTCTTCTGCTCAGGTCATGATCCTGGAGTCCCGGGATCCAGTCCCACATTGGGCTCCCTGCTGAGCAGGGAGTCTGCTTCTTCCTCTGACCCTCCCCCCTCTCATGCTCTCTCTCTCTCAAATAAATAAATAAAATCTTTAAAAAAAAAAGTTGGTAGATTAATGAATTACTGTTTGTTTTTGCCTTTTCTTTCCAAATTTTCTACACTAAGCATCCATATCTTTCATAATTAGAAAAAATTTTCTGGAATAATAAAAAGAGTATTAGTGTTTAAATTAAGGACACTAGAACATTTTGGTGCCATACCAGAAAATAATTCTTTTTTTGAAAGCCTCCCCTCCCCAAGTGTTTATTAATAGTCACCATATAGTACATTATTTCTGTTACTTTTTAAAATGTACCTTTTTTTTTTTTAAAGATTTTATTTATTTATTTGACAGAGAGAGACAGCGAGAGAGGGAACACAGCAGGGGGAGTGGGAGAGGGAGAAGCAGGCTTCCCGCTGAGCAGGGAGCCTGACGCGGGGCTTGATCCCAAGACCCTGGGATCATGACCTGAGCTGAAGGCAGATGCCCAACTGATTGAGCCACCCAGGAGCCCCTAAAATGTACCTATTTTTATAAGTACCTTTTGAAATAAGCCTCATCTCTCTATGTGATAGAAAAGGCTCCGTATATATTTAAGTACTTGTGTGCCTTTATACCCTCCTCTGCCCCACCCCTAAGCATCCAAAATATAATAATCTGGTTTTGGAGAACCAGTTGATACCCATGAACTTAAGTCACAGATAAACTTTTGAATGCTTCACCTTTTGGGTTTGTCCAGGAGTTAGGAAGTTTTGCTTTCTTTATATTCTGCATTTTCTTACTTGCATAGCCTTTATGGTTTGTAGGCCTTCTGCAGTTCATGTCAAAAGTAGGGTTAGAATACCTGGTCTTAGTTCATAAGTGGGCAAGTCCCTGCTATTGAGTATTCTTCTTGCTTAACCACATGCATTGTGCCTGGCACTGTTCTTGGGGCTGGACATAGATTTAAAAAATTTTTCCTAATCTTCACAGCGGCCCTGCAGGGTTGGCCTTATCACCATTTTACAGATGAGAAAAGTGAGGCTTGGAGTAGTTCTTTGAGTTGTCCAAGTACTGCCACACAGCCTGTTCGGCACTATCTGGGATTTCCACCAGATCTCTCTGGCTCTGGAACACATATAGTCTATGCCACACAGTGCTGTCTGTGCCTTTGGATTTCTCTTAAGCTGTGAGCTGTGTATATTCAGGAATCTCAGTTGGTCCTTTGTTTGAATAATTAAACAACTTTAACTACAAGATACAAATCGTTTTGTCAGAGTCTACTCTTTGTTTCTCTGGAACCTTCAGATCATTAGGGGAGAGGGGTGTCATAGAGAAGTTCTTGAGAGGTGGGTCCTGAGCACAGAGGACCCATTATTAGCAGCATTGCCCTGAGAATTTGTTCAACCACAGAGGATTGTGTAAGTGTAGGGCATGGCAATAGATCAGTAGCTTGAAAAGCTACCAGTTCCCAAATTGTCCTAGGAAGTACTAATGTACTAGTTGATGACTCTAGTCTCACCCTGAGTCCCTTCTGCCACTTCCTTTTTAAGACTCACAGGGGGAAATCTTATTACCAGCAGTCAAATCGTGTAATGCCCAAATTCTATTCTGATACCCCATGGAACCCAGTATAATCTCATTCATATAAGGAATTGCAGACATGGTGGCATGTTTGAGAACCTGGTTAAATCTCATGCAGTTCAGAATTGAACTTGTCTAAAATAAGATATGAGTTGGTTTGAGACTTCATTTGAGCAGAATTGAACTTCTTTATGTCAATCTTTTGCACTTCCACTTTGAGTTAATAAGGACTGTTTAGCACGAGCTCATGTAATTGACTCTGTTGGGAATGTGCACAATATGGATAGTTGGAAATCTAAGGGGCCTGGAGATACCATTCTCCTATATCTTATAGACAGGGTAGGTGAAAAAAAATCAGAGCAGGTGTAGTCCCTGTGACACAAATGAAGAGGGAGAGGTCACGTGTACAGTGTGGGGCACGGCAGTAACCACAGTCCCACATTGCCATCTTGAGGACCTCCTGTATAGCTTCAGTTTAATTTCACTGTATGTCGTTGAAGGATGAATATTCTTCACGCTACAACTACGTAGGGCCCAGGGACTCCTCAGTTCAGGTGGCTTCTCCAGGCCCACACCTAACTCTTGTGGGGGCCAGGACAAGAGTGCAGATGGAGACCCACATATCATGTGTGGGATAGCAAGCTAACAAGCTGTGAAATATGTTCTCTTCTCCACTCCTGGCGACTAGACCTTCATCACGCCCTGGAAGGGTGCACTGTTGAACTCTTCAGAGTGCCTACAGAAATGTCGCGGCCTTGGGAGAGCTGCCTTTCACCTGTAGGCTTCCCTGCTTCTCTTTGCACCACCGGCTCTGCCCTGCATGGTGAAGAGTCTTGTGCATGCACCCGAGTGCAGGGAATTCTGGGGTTCTGGGTCCTGGGAGCCTGGTCAGGAATGTGAGCCATGGACTCTGGGGTCCATGAATCCTTGGCTCTGCTGACTGCATACCCCGTGGGGGGGAGCTGCAGCAGGAGGAGGGCCAGAAAGGGCCCTCTAAAGTAGAGCCCTTCCCCTTGTCAGGGTCCAAGGGCAGTGCTAGGGTTCTCAGCACTGGTGCTTTTTTTTTTTTTTTTAAGATTTTTTTATTTATTTGTCAGGGAGCACAAGCAGGGAGAACAGCAGGCAAAGGGAGAAGCAGGCTCCCCGCGGAGCAGGGAGCCCGACGCGGGGCTGGATCCCAGGACCCTGGGACCACGACCTGAGCTGAAGGCAGACGCTTAACGAACTGAGCCACCCAGGCGTCCCTAGCACTGGTGCTTTAAGGGAGAAGCCTTATAGGCAGATGAGGTCTGTGCAATTGGCAGTGGAAAACTGGCTCTACTGCCACTCCCTAAATCAATGGCTCTTAGCCTGTTGGGCAAGTTTCTTGCCCTTCATATGAGCAGCATGCTGCTGCCAGTAACTTCCAGAAATGGGCAGTGGTTTTCATGAAGGATTGTGTCAGAATCTGCCGAGGCAGAGTGAGGAGGTGTGTTTCTAAAAAGCCTCCTTGCAGGTCCAGATACACTATCCTAGGGGGTGCCCCCTGCACCCCACCCCATCAGAGGGATTGTAAGTGCCTTTACCCATGTGCAGAGAAATGCTGGGAAAATCAACTGTGCTACAGCATCTCTTTAAATTTTAAATCTGGGACTGATGCTCTGAGGACTTCTTCCAAAGTAATTACTTCCCCGCTAGATTTCATGCTGCTACTTTAATTTTGCCACAGTGGTGCATGGCGGCTCGAGGACCTGCCAACCATGGAGGGGCCAGTCGATTGGAGCCACGGCATCCGCTGCCACAGAAACAGCCCAACATGGCAGAAGCCCAAAACCGCAAGTTCAGCCGGGGAAGAGGTATGACTCTAATTTTAGGTACTAATAAGAATTTATTTTTGTGGATGTCAACACCAGTGAGTGGCTACAAGCAGCCTTAGGAGGAAAGCTGCAGGGTAATGCCGATATGTAAGGAGTGGGTGTTATTTTCTTGGCTTTCTTTCAGTAGCTGGAAAACTGCAGGTCTCTCTCTCTCTCTCACACACACACACACACCCTAAGGTTTTAAAATTTTTTTGAAATTTTTTACAGATTAAAAAAAAATTTTTTTAAAGATTTTATTTATTTATTTGACACAGAGAGAGAGACAGCAAGAGAGGGAACACAAGCAGGGGGAGTGGGAGAGGGAGAAGCAGGCTTCCCGCGGAGCAGGGAGCCCGATGGGCTCCATCCCAGGACCCTTGGATCATGACTTGAGCCGAAGGCAGATGGTTAACGACTGAGCCATCCAGGTGCCCCTGAAATTTTTTATTAAAAATTTTTTTTCCAGCTTTATTGGGGTATGACTGACAAAGAAAATCCCACCGGGCTTTTGTTAAAGGACACATAGCTCATACAGTCTGCAAATTATGTAGGAATTTAGTTCTGGAATATGTCATGTAACACAAATTATATGTATTGCTGGAAATGTATTTACAAACCTAACATAATTAACCTATAAAATGTAGGTCCTGTAGAGGATAAAGAATAACCAATCTGTCCAGAATTTGTGTGGTAAACTCTGCCCATTGTTTTTCACTGTTAACACAGTGAACATAATTAGAACTGACATAATATGATTTGCGATTTATTAAAGGAATAAAGTATCTGTTCCGTACTTCACCCCTGCTGTTTGCTGGTTGGAATCAGCAGGCATGGCGGGCATGGCGTTGTTGTTGGGTGTCCTCTTCCATAGCAGAAGCCACAGCTGTTCTTAAGTCTTCCTTGGTACGGACGCAGCACAAGACTCTAAAAGGCAATTATTTAGATGAGTACACAGAAATAGCACACTTCAATACTAGCAGGGTTAAAGAAGGGAAGTCGCTGTGAACTGTTAACTCCTTGACCTTTCTTCTAGACATGATGTTCCATGAAAGCAATACAGCTATGAAAATGAATAGTCTTATTTTGTGTTTGTTATTTTTCATTGTGTGATCCTGGGTATGTTGATTGAACACTGAGTAAACTGAGGTTTTGGGGGGATAGAGCCTTAGGCAAAGTGTTGAAACCTTTTCAAGGGAGAAGTTTTAAATTTATGCTATTTATACTTTTACATTCAAACAAAGGGAACTTGACATTCAGAGCTTGGTGTCAGATGGGCTGTGTCTGGAGGGGAGGAGAGACAGAGTGACCCTTGCTAAAGCTTTGCACTTGACATTCTCGCAAAGAGGGTGTCAGACTAGGACAGCTAATGCGCCATTCATCATGCACAACACAGTTTTGAATTAAGTGCATGTGTATTTAGGTATTTTCAAATCGTGTGCATCTCTTTCATGTGTAAGATCATCATGGTTTACAAAACACGGGTTTGCAGGGCAGAGTAACATCCAATTTAAAGCCACTCTTGTTCTGAGCTCAGGTGTTATAGATGAAAAACAGTTCTAAATCTCGTTTGCACATTGATACCCTCTGTGGCTTAGGTAAGTCTCTTAGCTTGGGGTTTCTTAACCAGTAATCTGTTAACTGGCAGCAATCCATGGAAAAATGCGCTTAATTTATTGTGAGTCACAGATTTTGAGGGTGAGCGACAGGATCTCAGAACACTGGTCGTCTAAGTAGAAAGATTAAGGGAGTATTACAGTTTCACAATATAATGAATCTGGAATTTTCAGGTATCAAGAAAAGAAAACTAAATACCAGCTTGTTAATTCATTGATAGGATTTTTGGTTAGAGGAGGTGGAAAAGTTGTAGGACAATGACCGTCTTCCAAAATAATTGCTTGGTTTAGTAAAAAGGAGAGTAAACCCCCTTCCTCTAACACAGTGGTTCTCAGTAGAGGGAGGGGGGAGCCCTCCCCTCCCACTCCCCAGACATAGTTGGCGATGTCTGGGGACATTTTTGGTTGTCACAACTCAGGTGGGGTGTGTGCTGTTGCCATCTAGCAAGTAGAGGCCAGGATGCTACTGAAACCCTGCATCGTACAACACGGCCCTCCACAGCAAAGGATCATCCAGCCCAAAACGCCTGTAGTGCCAAGGAAGAGAAACGTTGGCCTAAGACGATGTGAAAAGTGAACCTAGTTCATCCTTATGATGGGCTCTAAATGGGAAGATCCCTGACTTCCCTGGAATGCAACATACCCGTTACCCCAGGAATTGGTTCTTATTTTGAAAATTTAGGCTGAGAACTGATTTCTGCCTCATTCCCCTGTAGTGTGTTTGCTCAAAAAACAGTTTCCACCTGTATACATTTGACACACTCTGCTACCTCACATTATCACCAAATGTTAGTGTTTGTTTAAAAATTGCAATTAAACTGTCCTTGTGATCTCACTGGTTTTAGAACACATTAGGAACAGTCTTCCAAACAAGAGCCATCTCGGCAGGATCGGCTCAGTCACTGCAGCAGTTTGAGGTGGTCTTGATGTAGGAGGGTTAGAAAGTGGCACCACTCCGCATTTGTAATAATGGTGTTTTACATAAACCTCAGTCTGGTCATTCTCAGCTGCTTTATCAAGAGTGAATGGAGACTACATTCAGCTGTAAGAAGGAAAGAATACTGATTCATGCTATCACATGGATGAACCTTGAAAATTGTATGCTAAGGGAAAGAAACCAGACACAAAGGGCCACATATTATGTGATTCTGTTTCTCCGAATAGGCGGATCCATAGACCCAGAAAGCAGATCATTGGTTGCCAAGAGTGAGCAGGAGGGAGAATGAGGAATGGCTGTAGTGGGGGGGAATATTCTCTCAGGGTAATGAAAATGTTTAGGAATTAGATAGTTGTAATGGTCGCATATATTAAAAACCACTGAATTGTAGTTTGAGGTGGCAGATTTTATGATATGTAAATTATATCTAAATTTTTACAAATGCAAAAAAAAAGTGTAGGAATGGAGGAAACACTCCTTGTCCTTTAGTGTCCCCACTTGCAGGCTCTTTCACTGGCGTCACAGGGCTACTGTTCACAGGAACACATGGGCCTCCAGTTCTCCAGGCTCTCATCTCTGGCTCTGACCTCAGAGTTCCAAGTCTCAAGTCTTGGGCTGCTGGTGGCCACCCGAAGCATGCGAGGGGCACTTGGTCCCGCTCTGGCTCCATCTTGCGCCCTGAAGAGGTGTAGGAATGGAGAGCTCATCTTGGCCTGGCTCACATTAATCTGTGCAGGCTCCAGAGCTGCTCCAGATTTTAGAAGTTTAGAGTTTGCATAGTCCTTTGGTTTATTTAACTTCTCCCAAACTGCTTGATTTTCTTTTTTTGCTTCTTCTGGCTCATTCAGTGCTGGACCTATTTGAATAAGTTAGAGTAATTTCTTGCAGGAATCCCCTAAGCAGTGGCTCTAGATGGAGGATGCAGAGGTGAGTGCAACGTGAGACATGTACTTTATCGTAGCAGGAGACACTGAAGAAGGAGTAAAGGCAGGCTCTGGAAAAGGCAGCAGAGTAGCAAGAAATAATTCGTCAGTAGTAATTTAATGTAATCATTAAAGAGAAGGGAACAGGTAAAGAATTAGAGAGGGGCTGGTATTATACTATGGAGGTTTAAACTTCTGGGAAGCCCATGGCTTCTTGGTGTATAAGATGATTTCTGTGTTCCAGATCATGCTAAATGACTAAGTACGCTATCTTTTTAATTCTCAAAACAGCCTTTTGAGGTAGTTGGCAGACTATCTTATGGATGAAGAAACTAAAGTTTGGAGAGACCAAGTCATTTGTGTGTTCATAAGGCATTCACATGAACAGTTTTTCCAGCCTCAGGACAATTGTAGATTTATCCCTTGGCTCTCAGTCCCTAAGGAATGGGATCTTTGTTCAGGACTGACGGTTTAGTGGAGAAATGTTTCAAGCCCAGAGAGGACCAGCGTCATGGATGGAGCTCGGAGACCGAGGTCAGAGTCAGAGCTGGGGCTGTGTGGAACCGGAGGCCTGGTGTGTCCCCAGATGGGTAGCCATGGGATGCCCGTGCACAGCTCTGTAGGTCTGTACCTTTGCTTTGAACAGATTGGATGGGAGTTTGCTAGCTGAACCAAGACTGTACCCTAGAGGAGAAAAATAAAAAGTTACAAATCAACCATTGCATTTTGTTTTCTGTAGGAAGCCAAAAACTGGAATTTTAATGCTAAACATGGGAGGCCCTGAAACCCTGGGAGATGTTCACGACTTCCTTCTGAGGCTCTTCTTGGACCGAGACCTCATGACGCTTCCTATTCAAAAGTAAGACACGTCTAAGCACCTGTGCTTCTTCCTGGCTTGTGCAGTGCCTCTTGCCTTACACGTACCTCAGTTCTTTAGTTTCAAAAAATAAATGGTTTTAATGCATATCTGGTAGTGGCTAGAGCAGCATTATTATTTTCTTAGGTATAAGAAGGATTTGATATTGCAAGAATTGCAGGAGAGAGAGAAAGCAAGTTGGGGGGGGATCCCCCTTGAGCCCTTTCCTCCCCAGAGCTCTGGAAATTGCAGTTGTCTTGACACAACTGATGTCCCTTTAAGGATGTTACAGATGGGGGCACCTGGGTGGCTCAGTCGTTAAGCGTCTGCCTTCGGCTCAGGTCATGATCCCAGGGTCCTGGGATCGAGCCCCGCATCGGGCTCCCTGCTCCGTGGGAAGCCTGCTTCTCCCTCTCCCACTCCCCCTGCTTGTGTTCCCTCTCTCGTTGTGTCTCTCTCTGTCAAATAAATAAAATCTTAAAAAAAAAAAAAAGGATGTTACAGATACATTTGTACTTGGCACTCACTGGCTGATTAATACTCAGGGAAGCAGTGATTAGTATTCATTCATACTGTGAGTATGGACGGTGACTGCCTCTTTCTTTTCATCCTTCCCTCCCTCCTTCCTTCTCTTCTCTTTAAAATGGGTTTTTGTAATGAAAAATTTATACATGCATATGATAAAAAATGCAAATAGCAGAAAAATGTTCACTGTTAAAAGCAAGTGTCCCTTTCCTTGGGACTCCAGCCTTCCAGTTACCCACCTGGGAGGTTACAGATGTAACCAGAAATAGAGAAATCTGTAATTGTACAGATGTCTTTCTGGTTACATTTAGAAATAGTTCGTGCATATGCATAACTTTATTTATAGATATATAGGTATATATGGGCGTATATATCCTCCCTGTTCTTTTCAACGCAAATGTGAATGTACTTATGTACATTATTTAACACTTTGTTATTTTCTTTTTTTGAAACTTAACAATGTATCTTGGAGATTGTTCCATAACAGATTATATAGATCTGGTTTTTTGTTTTTTGTTTTTTGTTTTTTTTTCCCCACGACTATATAGAATTGCATTGTCTGGTCATACCTCAATTTATTTAAGCTCTGGCTCATGGTGGACATTTATGTTGTTTACGTATTACAGTGAACATTCATGTGGTTTGCGTACATCTTTGCTCACATATGCAAATGTATCTGTGATTAATACGCATTTTCTTAAAGTGAGAGGAATATATGCTTCCTAATGTCTTCTATATCCCACTTCCTACTAGGTGTAGCATCAGGAAGTGTTAAGATAGTGGCTGGCATGCATCTAGGGTCCGTGCCTGAGTGTTTGGTGTCCTGAATCTTCAGGCTGTGTTGCTAGAACAACACGTGGGGCAGAGGTGGCTACTCCTCAGAGAGTGTTTAGTTTTCTCTCTCTACTTGAGGCCAAAAGAGCTGGCTGTTTGTCACTCAAAGCTTCTGTTTTTATTTTTTTTTTATTTTTTATTTTTTATTTTTTTTAAAGATTTTATTTATTTATTTGAGAGAGAGAGAATGAGAGATAGAGAGCACGAGAAGGAAGAGGGTCAGAGGGAGAAGCAGACTCCCTGCTGAGCAGGGAGCCCGATGTGGGACTCGATCCCGGGACTCCAGGATCATGACCTGAGCCGAAGGCAGTCGCTTAACCAACTGAGCCACCCAGGCGCCCCGAAGCTTCTGTTTTTAAAGACTTGATCTTCTTAGGCTCTTCTTACAATTTTGCTTATCTTTTCTATCGAGTAGTTTCTGAGGTTGCTAAGGTGGAATAAAATCCACTTACCTACCTGTTAAATGATTTAGTAAGCTGGCACCAATCATCGCCAAGCGCCGAACCCCCAAAATTCAGGAGCAGTACCGCAGGATTGGAGGTGGGTCTCCCATCAAGATGTGGACCTCCAAGCAAGGAGAAGGCATGGTGAAGCTGCTGGATGAGTTGTCCCCGCACACAGGTACAGCGCTTCTTAATCAGTATCTCACTAGGCTTGTTCTTGCAAATTGGATATGAAGTCCCAAACACTAGTGGATGGCAGATGCGGTTGGTTCTCTGTATCTGCAGTCCTTGATCTGTGGGGGTTTCTGTATGATGCATGGTCCCTTAACTCCGTTCTTAAGGCATTATCCTTTGTCCTTGGCTGTGTAGCCTGTTATTCCTTATGTTACAGAGGAAAGAGCTAAAGATTTGGAACATTGGTTCAAAAGGAAGTTTGAGGTGTGTGTTAAATTGAGCTAGATTATAAGGAAGAGGCCACATACCATGAATAAAAGATGCATATCTCATTGCCGCCGGGAAGAAATCTTTGAGAAATGGATCAGGGCTGCTGTTAGTGCCTTTCCTTCTGTGCAGACAGCTAATTAGATGAACAGAGCAGAATTGGCTAGCTCTTCTGGCAACCATGAGACTGTAAGCAACTTTCAGCAACCATCCTTGGCTCTCAGCAATACCGGCTAGTGTGAGGCGCTAGCGGATTGTGTGTGGCTGGTAACTGTCCTCTGAGAACCTCTAATGCAGAAGGATAATGTGCAGAATGAAGCACTAACTGCATGAATGAATTGTAAGTGCCATATTTAGCTGCATGCAAGACACATTCAAGATTGCAGGACACACCATTGTTCACACACACACACACACACACACACACACACACACAGAGGAAACTCTGCCGGTTAATTTTAAGATGGCATCTCTTGCAGATGTGGACCAATATGAGAAATGTTAAACCAAGAAATGTGCATGTAAGGCACATGAAATACTTTAATTAACAGGTACATTTTGGGGCTCCAGAATGAGGACAGGAGTGTGACACAGTGGGGAGCCTCAAGGACAGCCACCCCTCCAGGCGGGACCAAAAGCATTTTACTCTGCTCTGAGAAAACACCATTGAGTGTCACCTCAGGCTGCTCTTGGAAGCCACTGTTTCCCGTCACATACAGGGACAGAGGCTCTAGCTCAGCTCAGCTCACTTGGAAAATTGTTCAGTCATGCTTCTGAACATCGGGTGTCCTTCCTGCCTTCGCTGGTGGCTCAAGGGCATTTCTTATACAGTTCAGCCACTCGTACCGCAATGTATCTTGAAAACATTAGGTGAGGGAAACTTGGCTGTGCCCTACTCACACCTGCCTGATAGAGAACAAGCCCTCTAGTCATTAACAGTTTATCACGATAAAAGGTCTAGTGTGAATCAGATCTGCAGGTGCCCTGCTGTCTTCAGTGGAAAAAAAGAAGTGGCAAGATGCCATTTTTGTCTGTTGATGTGGTAGCATCCATCCAGTATCCCAGGAGAGCTGTTAGCCTTGAGAAAGGAGTACAGATGGAGGGCATCCTTCCCACCTCCCCTCTCTCTCTGGTGAGGCTGCTGGGTTGTCCGGATCAGATGGACCAGCTGTGGCCTCGGCCTCCTGGGTTGGCTTGGAAAGAGTCCCGTGGAATGAACTAGATTTAAATCACTATCAAACATCTGATTATTTTAATATGTGGCCATCTAATACAAAGGAAGTTACATCATCTAGATTCTAGGATTATTCCCTGCTTTGGTAGGGACCAACGAATAGTAATATCCACTTCATATTTTCATAGTCAGAATTGTAAGTGATTTTTTGAAAAAAAATCAGTTTATTAAGCATTCCATCTTATAGATGCATATGAAAAAGTAAAGTCTATTATTCTTCATTATAATTTGGGGATAAGTTTAGGGTATCCATGAAGTATCATCAGCTCAGTGGCTTGCCTGTCCAGTCACTAAATCACTACTAATGTGATGGGAAATCATCTTTCCTCCTTTCTCACTCCATTCACTTGCCCATTTGGTCGCTCACGTAGCTGCTCTTTCACACATTAATTCCCACTTCCATCCATTCTTCCATCCAGCCAACCACCAGGTATTTGTAAGCACTGACCACACTCAGGTACAGTATAGTGATGAGGGATAAAGTAGTGACTAAGTCACACCCTTACCTTCATGGAGCTGAGTTACCTGGTCATTTTCATTGAGACAGGGAGTAAATTGTCTTAGGGGCTACTTTTTTTTTTTTTAAGATTTTATTTATTTGACAGAGAGAGAGAGATCACAAGTAGGCAGAGCTGCAGGCAGAGGGAGAGGGAGAAGCAGGCTCCCCATTGAGCAGGGAACCTGATGTGGGACTCAATCCCAGGACCCTGGGACCATGACCTGAGCCGAAGGCAGATGCTTAACCGACTGAGCCACCCAGGTGCCTTTTTTTTTTTTTAAGATCTTATTTATTTATTTGATAGAGAGAGACATAGCGAGAGAGGGAACACAAGCAAGGGGGGTGGGAGAGGGAGAAGCAGGCTTCCAGCCGAGCAGGGAGCCCGATGTGGGGCTCGATCCCAGGATTCTGGGATCATGATTGAGCCAAACGCAGAGGCTTAATGGCTGAGCCACCCAGGTGCCCCTTAGGGGCTACTTTTAGTTTCTCTGGATCTGGAAGGCTCGTCCAGATCCTGGTCCTGGGAGGGCTTTGGTACTGATGACCCTTTGACTTATCACTGTCCTCTGGCCCACGCTTGGGACCCTTGGAGCAGGCAGGTTAAATTGTTGCTCTCTCCTACATGGTAGATGACTACCTAACGGTTTTGGCAGACCCGCTCTGGGGGTATGGTAGAGATGCTCGATAAGGCCCAAGACTGTCCACTCGGTCATTCATCAGTGGTACCCTGAGTGCCCTGCACTGTTCGATACTGCTTTTCAAAGTCAAAAAACATGGTTCCTACTTACGAGAAGCTTCCAGTCCAGGGAGACCGTGCGATTACAGCCTAATCTGCTTAAGGGGCAGAGAGAAAATCTTTTAAGACTTACTGGAGAGATGCTATACAAAATGGGTAGGAAGGCCAGTGATCACACAGAATGCAGATGGAGGAAAAATGAAATAGTCTCAAGGTTTGGAACTGCTTTGGGGGAGCTTTGTGCTGAAGACCAAGATTATCAGGTGTGGCTCTGTGGCTCTGCCAGGAGCTCACCCAGATTAACTAGAAAGAGGTTCTGCTACTTAATGCTTCGCAGAATGGACCCGAGCCAGCCGTGAAGACCCAGGCCCCTTATCCCCTTCGTGTGGCTTTTCCTTCCTGCTTTCTCTGCCCCTCCCTCCATTCCTCTCTTTCTGCTTCCTCCTCCCTTCCCATACGTTCACACAAAACCATAAAGTATACTTTTAAACTATGTTTATTTCTCCTGGGAAAAAGTTCTCTTTAGGCAAAACAGTGTGGTGATTACGAACAGATAGAAATGTTTCAAATTCTCATTTTTTAGGGAAGTAGTTGTTGCTTAGTAGCTGTTATAGAAATTTCAGCTTGCACTGGCTTTGTGTAAAATTGACTATTAAGTCATACGGTCAGTTTAACGAGGGAATATAACTTGGAATTGGTTTCATAGGATTATACCACATTACAGGAATTGAGGGAATAGAGGAGGAAAATAGATGAGAAGTGTAATCACTTCATGAAAGCCTAAATCTCAAATACATTTTAAAAAATGATAGTTTGGTTGTGTAGACTGTGACTGCTTCTCAGGAAGCTGTAAGTGCCTGCTACTCTGTAGAATAAGTCAGTTGTTCTTTACCGGATGCCTGATGGGGAGGAGCGTGGGCTCTCTTCAGATGGAGCTGGCTTCCCCAGTCCTGGCTGTAGGACCTCAGGCAGATGACTACCCCAGTAAGCCTCATCTTGAAAATGGCGGTGATCACAGAACCCCACTCCTAGGATCATTGTGAATATTACATAAGATAATCACGAAAGGCATCAGCCTGGTGCATGGCACATGGTAAAAATTCAATAAATGTGAGCCTTTATTATTATTCATCGTTGGCCTAGGGCTCATGATGAGCTACAACTCAAAAAGCATTATGCTATCTATTTCACACCTTTCTCTCAAAGAGTCATGTACAAGTCAGACATTTGAACTGTGGGCTGGAAATTAATGAAGTTTCACTGCTCAAAAATTCAACTCAGTCCTTTTTTTTTTTTTTTTTTTTCTTTTTCTGGTGACAGTAACCAAAGACTCTTGGCTGGGCCGGTGGCTTCAAGGGTAGACTAGGCGAGGCCAGCGAGTTGCCTTCTGGGAAACATTTGCTTCCTCAGGCTAGGCCCAGTCAGAGAGAGCACATGGCCATTCTCCGGCAGTAGGGCAGTACGTTTGTGCAGGCCATCTTTAATCTAACAGTTTAGCAGGTCTTATCTGTTCCTCCCAGAGTATTTTACCCTCCCTCACTTCAAAGCAAGGTCACCACCAGCATTTATCTGCAGGGGCAGCCACTTCACCTCTCTTGTCTGCAAGATTTGAGGAACTCCCAGGCCCCAGGCATTTAGGCTGCAACTTTTCAAAGGTGGAAAGAAAATGCCAGAAGCTGCTTGGCCTGTAGCACTGGAGGATCTTACCATAGCAATCTAGTAATAGGATTGTCTCAGAAGAATAGATTAGAAGGCAAATCCCACTTCAGCCTCCGCTTAGGTCCCCCAGAGCTCCTCAGGCAGGGACTTGGGAGCATGACAGTTGGCAGTTTTGGGATGAACCACGTTGTAATCTTCAGTCAGTCAGTCATTTGGTCTTTGCTTACTGCATCGGGCATTCTGGTGTATTTTAACTGCAGTTCGTCGTTTTACACAAGGGAACAGAAAATTGGTGGCCTAGAAGGGACAGACTGCTGAAAATGATTCTCCTTATGCCCCTTCCTTCCTCTTTTTTCAGTCCCCAGCCAGAGACTACCAGAGAAGCCTGTCCTTCCCACGCACATGCACGCCTCTCTCTCCTTCCCATGTCCGCTCCTGCCCTTGGGAACATGTGCCCCTGCTTGCTCGTTCCCCGTGTCCCGTCACCGAGGCATGGTTATTACAGACACACGAACAGTGAACACGTTATCTTTTCCTTCACTTTAGCCTAAATATTTCTTGTGGCTATTTCATGTCCCGTACTTAGTGGCAACCCCTGCTCATGCTGGGACAGTAGCATCATCTTGGTTCTGTTATGACTTAACATTTATGTTGCGTATTCTCAGCGTCATCCCTGAGTGGGAGTTAGCTTTGTCCTATGAAATGACAGGAAACTTTCAGTTTTATGATCTTCTAAATGCCTAAGAAATTGTGTGGTGGTGGGTGCTTTTAAGATCCAGGACAAGAAGATGGAGAAGGACAAAGGAAGGATAGGAGAAGGGGTTTGGAAGGAATACACGGGGAAGGAAGGCAAGGGTATACACCGACTTGGGCTGTTACTTCAAATCCCATTCGGTGCCTCCAATTTAAGCCTTGTTGTTGGGTTTCTGTCATCTATTAAATGAGGAGAATCATTTCAATCGTTTGTTATCCCTGAACGGTTGTTGAGTATCCTGGAGCTTCCCAGGTGACCTGGGGTCTGAGGGAGCAGGAGGGAACCCGGGTGGTGGAAGCAGGCTGTGGGGCCAGGAGGGGGCACGGCCTTGGGAGGCGAGAGACCCACATTCAGTTTCAGCTCCACTGTCTGCTAGGTGTGACTTTGGGCAGGTTCGTTAACCTTGGAGAGTTTCAGTTTCTTTATCTGAAAAATGAGGTCTAAATGAAAGAAAAACTACGAGCAAAGTGTCCACCATTGTATCTGGTACATCAGAGGAGGTTACATTTCAAGAGCAAGTGCCAGTTCTTTCCTTCCTTCCTTTGGGTCTCTCTTATCTCAGTCAAGAGCAGAGAATAAAGAAAAGACATTTGAGTTTTAAAAACCACTGTGCTCGGTAAGGGTGTGTGTGTTGGGGGTGGGAGGAGGTTGATCCCAGAAAATGGTGGTGAAAAGTCCAGGCACTAGCGAAGACTGGGTAAGATCCGAGGAATATTCTAAACTTAGCCACATTATCAGCCTCCCAGGAAATTAGGTTAACTGTTCTTTGTTCTGGGCTTTGCATGATGTTTGGTGACTCCGAGGAATCTATATAAAGATTAATACTTTCTCCTTTTCCACATGCTTCCTAATAGCCCCTCACAAATACTATATTGGATTCCGGTACGTCCATCCTTTAACAGAAGAAGCAATTGAAGAGATGGAGAGAGACGGGATAGAAAGGGCTATTGCCTTCACGCAGTATCCACAGTACAGCTGCTCCACGACTGGTGAGGCTTCCCTGTGCCAGTGGGAGGGTGGGGGTGCCGGGCCCTGGCAGCCATCGCTGGGGCACCTGAGTGGGGAAGGAAAGGATAAATCATTTTCTGTTTTATTTATTTATTTATATTTATTTATTTATTTATTTATTTATTTTTAAAGATTTTATTTATTTATTTGAGAGAGAGAGAATGAGAGACAGAGCACAAGAGGGAAGAGGGTCGGAGGGAGAAGCAGACTCCCCACCAGGCAGGGAGCCTGATGTGGGACTCGATCCTGGGACTCCAGGATCATGACCTGAGCCGAAGGCAGTCGCTCAACCAACTGAGCCACCCAGGCGCCAAGGATAAATCATTTTCCATTTGAATGGCAAATCCAGCCTGTCTGCTTTTTTAAAACATGAGAGTGCAGGTCTGTCCATTTGAAATCTCATGGTTCATCTGTCCCTTGAGTTATAGGCCAGTCGGCTGAGAATTACGAACGGTGGGTGGAAGGCGGTCGCCGCCCGTGCTCAGTGCTTTAATGCAGTTGTGTAACGGCTCAGTGATGAATGTTAAGCCACTTTTTATGTTTGCGTAATAAACCCTATTTTTATGGCAACCCTAGTATTCTCAGTAACGTAGCTAAGGTGATAGCAGTTTCCATTTTGAAAGCAGAGGGACCCAGGTAGCACGAGAAATATTGGTATGTTTTTTGCTACACTTAATTTATGGGTTGGTTTACTGGTTAAACCAAAGCCCAGCTTGAGGTTGTTCCCTTTGTAAACTTCTCTCAGTGTTCTGGATTCGGGAAAATATTACTGCGTGTTGTTTCCTATGTATTTAACTGGAGCAGGAGAATAATCATGTTTGCCCTTCTCTGTAGCATTGGTAATAGGTAAAGCTTCTACTCTTGCCCACAAATACGTTTGTTTGCATTCTCTTTCAAGGATTGGGCTCAGCACATTTTGACTCCCAAATTGCTTTTGGATGTTAGTGCATATTGTTTCTATAATTATAAAGAGAAACAAAAGGCTGTCAGAGGACATGTTCAAAGCCTGTTGTGTGTCTTAAATGTTTGTTCAGAGCCCCTGTGAAAATGCCTGAGTTCTCAGACACCCTCAAGAGTTTGAGTTTTGACTTCTTTTGGAAATGTACCTCTGCAACTCAAAATGTCTGCTAATATGTTATTGGAGAAGGAATCAGATTTTATAAATTTCTAAGCATACCTTTGCCTTGCTTTAAAAAATATACCTCAAATGTAGGTGTGCCTGGGTGGCTGAGTCCGTTGAGCATCCGACTCTTGATTTCAGCTCAGGTCATGATCTCAGGTTCGTGGGATCAAGCCCCGAGTCAGGCTCCATGCTCAGTGCAGAGTCTGCTTGTCCCTCTCCCTCTGCTCTTCCCCCTGCTTGTGTGCTCGTCTCTCTCGCTCTCTCTCTTTCAAATAAATAAATACAATCTTAAAAATACATATATACCCCAACTGCAGATGTCTGCTCTCAAAATTAGACAAGAAGATGGTTATTTGTACGACAGAGGATTGACTGGGTTTCATTTCACAGCTGACTCTACCAGTGAGTCTCAGGTGTCAGTGTCTGTGCGGCTGTTCCCTGGTCCATCTCACGTGAAAGGGCAGGTGATCTTCACTCAGAGATTCGAAAGTGGAAAGCACATCCCATTCTTTGAGGCCACGAGAGTGTCGTTTACCTGTTGTGTCATTTAGACACACGTTGTTGGAGCAGAGCCAGTATTACCTTGTGTTATCAATCACATGCAGTTGTTTTAGTTCTATTTTCCCCTCATTACAGCTTTGGGTAGTTGATCACATGTTTCTGAGTGACCCAGAAGAACTAATGTGGCTTCCAGAAGTCCTGAAGATGATATTCACCTGTATGGTGTGGCTTTTGCAGTGTGAATATGCTGCTGACTCTGATTTCTGGAGAGATTGTTTTCGAACGTGCAGTGGACTCAATTTGGATTTATCTGACTCATTGTATTCCGGAATGGAACTCATTTATCTTTTTGAAAATTAAGTTTTAGGCTAAGTGTACATTTGATTTAACTATAGGCTGTATCCCGGCTCGTATTTTAATCTGGAGACCTATCAGATTAACAGTCCTTATTGTTACAGAAACCAGTGCGTTGCCCTTGGGGAGCAGGGAAATGTTTTGGAACATTTGCCCCATGTTAAGATTGAGAAAGAAGCTCTGTGTTAGGGTTAGTTGCATAGGATTCGCCTCGGCCCGCACGCCAGCTCCCCTCGGCCAGGAAGAAGTTCCACTGGGTTGGCACCATCTGTCTTCCTTCAGTCGTTGAATTTTCGTGATTTTGACCTCTTGGTTAAAAATACAAGTTCTGTTAGATTACTTGTAAGGATTTGCTATCCACTTAACTTATTCTGGGGAATGATGATAATCTTGTAGAAGCAGATAATAATAGAGAATGCTCATACAAATCTAAATAAGCTAGTCTTCTTATCAACAAGTCATTTAAAAAGATAGCTATAAAGCTTTTATTGTAAGGTAGAAAGTATGCATCTCATAATAATAAATAAAAATATTCCAGGTGCTCAGGATACAGAATTGCATACATGCTAAAATACAACTTTGTGAAACAAAACAGCTATACAGGAAAATAATAGGAAAGAACTCTGCTAGAGTAACACCATGGCTGCATTAGCATGCTGGATCATGGCCAGTTTCTTTTTTCCTTTCTTCCCCACCCCTACATTTCCTGCTGGGGTTGATTACCTTCATAATGGGGGAAAAAATTAACATGCTTTCTGTTGTTAGACTTGGTTCCTGCAAATAGCGGTGGCTTATATTTCATAAATCCTCTACCGTTGTGTTTCTCACGAGAAATGGCCTCACTCGTCTTTGAAAGGCCATTGCAATTGATTGCTTTTTAGTGATCTTCATTTGCAGGGTAGTTAAATCTATCTGCATTTTAGAGTGTTGAAATGCTCGTAATTAGACCAATTCAGTATAGAAGCGGTTACCTATTTCGAACTTACTGGCCTTTACTAGTCTGTTTTTCATTTTCACTATCATCAACATGCGTCTACTAAGTGGTCCCCTGTATTTTTCAGGCAGCAGCTTAAATGCCATTTACAGATACTATAACCAAGTGGGAAAGAAGCCTGGGATGAAGTGGAGCACCATTGACAGGTGGCCCACACACCCCCTCCTCATTCAGGTAAGCCAGCCACTGCCCACAGCCCCCGTCGGCCCAGCTGCTGGGGTGGGTCAGGTTCTTGTCCCTGCCTAGTTTGTGGCGTCCTTCTGAGCTTTCCCATTCTCTTGCTTAAATTACACAATTTAAGCAAGGGATTTAAAAAAAAAAAGTATTAAGAGACTCAACTTGTTATGACAAGAGAAAATAAATTTAATAATTAAAGGTTAGAGTCTTTCCTTTCTTCGGATTAACACTAGTAGTTACAAACTAGAGCAGAATTATGTTTTGAGTTTCGTGTTTCCCAATAACCAGGACATGAAAGATTATACAGAGTGTTTCCATTAATTTACATTTATATATTGAGTGCCCGACAGATCCTGTATTTTCTAAATCCTTTAAAATGACAAAAGGTTGGGACGCCTGGGTGGCTCAGTTGGTTGAGCGGCTGCCTTCGGCTCAGGTCATAGTCCCAGAGACCTGGGATCAAGTCCTGCATTGGGCTCCTTGCTCGGCGGGGAGCCTGCTTCTCCCCCTGCCTGCCTCTCCCCCTGCTTGTGTTCTGTCTCTCTCTCTGACAAATAAATAAATAAAATCTTAAAAAAAAAAAAGAAATAAAATGACAAAAGGTTTTAAAATTTTTCAAGGTACTGAATCTACTTGTTTTGACATGAAACTAGATTCAACATTTCAGTTGAGAAAGTCATATTAGAAGAAATTTCAGATTTCTCCCATGCAACTGTATTTATAATGTTTCCATGAACAGATGCTTGGTTTTTGGAGAATCAGTTAAAACTACAAATCAAAAGCTAATAGCTTTGAATTGGTGTTACCATATACTTTTTTGCCATTTGTACATGAGAAGAGTATTGGTAATTGCCCTAAAATGTACAAATATAGTTTTGTTCTGTCAGAGGAGGTTTCTGCCTTTGAGTTAGTTTAGGTAGGGAACGTATGGAGTGATTGAGGTTTCATCCAGTTTATGTTTCACTCCGTGGACATTCTCTGCCAAAATACCCGTTTAACATCTTTTTTAAAAGCCTGGAGTCGCTTAAAATCTAACACCACTAGGTGGGGCTAGACATCGGTAAAAGCAGGCCCGCTCTTCCCCAGAGCAGGCCCTGTTCCTTAGGCACAGAGGTGATGTCAAGGGTTAACACTTAGGTGGAAAAACAGTTTTAAGTAAAAATGAAAAGGAGGTGCTTTCCTTTAGGGATAGGTGTAGTTCCACTCTGAGAGCCCCACACCCCTTCGCTGTACTGCTGGCTCCGGTTAGCGCCGCGAAAGACCCAGTGTTCCTCCTACTGGTTTGCTCTGGGCTGCCTGGGACTGGGAGCGAGGGGTTTCAGGTCAGCACTGACATGTGGTAGCAGAGAACGGAGGGATCTGCACAGCATCTGCCTGCCCTGATCCACTGAGTAATTAGATTTGCATTAAAATTCAGCCCTTTGAAAAGGGGGGAAGCAGAAAGATGGAAAGGTCTCTTAACTGAGGAAGTCTCCGTTCACAAAATGAAAGGGAATTTTAGAGGCATTTATCTGCCCTTCTCGATGGTGTGATTGAAGGCTCAGAGCCGCCTGCCTCTTTCATTCCGCAGAGAGATTGCACATCGAGGATACTGCAGACAGATTGGAGGTGATCTAAGTAGGCTTCTTGCTCGCGGCTCCTCAGTGTGGACGACGGCTTAGCGTCTGTTGCAAGCCGGAACAAATTGTGTTTCTGCTCGCTCTTTTGTGAGAGGAGAAAAGGAAAAATACTAAAATTTTTTAGAAACAAAAGTTTATAGACAGGTTTTATTCTTCATATTGTGCTGACATGAGATTTGATATCTAGCAGAAATTAAAAAAAAAAGTCAAACCCTAATTGGAAACTAAAAATACAGTTAAAAACTGACACTGAAAAGAACGTCTCACTCTACATTTCTACTTGTTATAGGTAGTAATTACTCGAAATTGTCATTTCCCTACTGTCATCCCTAATATTGCTGTGTCACGAGCTGCTGGGGTAATTGGAGTAAACATAGGCTCAGGCTTCTTGTAAGCTTCACACTGGGTCTCCTTACCCAGGCTGCTGTAGGTCCAAACACAGTCCTTCCTGAGCATCCTTCTTTCCAAGCACTGCGAAGACCGCCAGAAAATATTGGTTTTGTTTATATCTAATCTAACGACATTTACTCTGTAGATAAATTCTAAATTTTGAAAAGGAAAGTCTCTAGGCACCATTTTGTACCTTAGTGCCTTTATTCACCAAATTTTGAGGGTTTGGAAAGATTAGTAATATCTCCATGTTGATTAGGGAATTACTTGCTCTTCTTATAGTGTTAACCACTGATATACCAAAATACCAAATAGCAAATGTGCGTGGTTCTGGTAAATCATCCTTTATGATTTTTCAAAAACCTTTCTATTTGGAAATAAGTTTAAACATGCAGAAAAGTTACAAGACTAAGAATAGTAGAGGAACTCGACTCTTTGCCTAGATTCACATATTATTAGCATTTATTCCACTGTCATTTGCACACTGTGTGTGTGTGTGTGTACATTTTTCTTCTGAACCTTTTGAGAGTAACTTATATCTATAAAACCACCCTTGACACCTAAATAGCAGGGATCTTCTCCTCCATAACCATGATACAGTATTCAACTGCAGTAAATTTAACATCAATACTTAAATTCATCTAATCTACATTCATATTCCAATTCTGTCAATTGACCCATTAATGTCCTTTGTAGCATTTGCTTTCTGAGTTAAGTGACGAAGAATGATTAAAGTGGAAGATGAAAGAAAGCCTCTTCACATCGGGTATTTCAGCACCTATTGATGTAGATCGGAAAGAGCCAACTAGACAGAGGGAATTAACTGGTCTGGTGGACAGAGCTTTGGAGGCGGAGGCGGGGCCTGCCTGGCAGCCCAGGTCCCGCAGATGTGACTGAATGGCCCCCACGTCGGCCGCCTCTTCCCCCCTCTGTGAATTTAATGAGAGTTGTACAACCTCTCATCTGTTGTTATGAAGGTTGTTACGAAGACTGACTCAGGGAGGCTACTGGGCTCAGAAGGAGAAGGTCGTAAAAATAGAATAGTATTTTCTTATTCCTCTACTATTTATGTCTAATGTATTTTAATGTGATAGGCCTGAAAGCCAAACTGAGGAAGATTTAGAAAGAGCCTGTAAGCTGTTTTCCTGCTAACCGAGCAAATGAGAGGTCTTAAAACAACTTCTCCTTCCCATCTGTGTCTTCTCTCCATCTGGAAGTGTGCCCTGTTCCTCCCGAGGGGAAGCAGATCCAGAGTGTTCATTTTCAGTGAGCCATTAGCGAGCTTTAGAAGTTTCCCATCAAATTCCCTAGGCCCCTGAAACCGTTATGAGCCATTTTCATGATGAACCAAAGTGAGAGGAGACTGTACTGTTTGCAATTTTTTAAAAAGAGAGTTCCAGTTTTTGAGGGTTGCCAGGAGATTTTTGTCCTAGCTCTCACTTTAAACATATTTTCTTTTCCTTCTGTTTCTTTCTTCCTACCCCACCTTCTCACCCTCTTTTCTTGCTGTTCCCGCAGTGCTTTGCAGACCACATAGTGAAAGAACTGGACCATTTTCCACTTGAGAAGAGAAGTGAGGTGGTCATTCTGTTTTCTGCTCACTCACTGCCAATGTCTGTAAGTAAGAGTGTTTTGTTGGATGACCTAGTAGTAGAGGATTTCTGAATGTGCAAATGGGACCCAGCTTCTAGAACATCCTGAGCCTGGTGCAAGGATGAGTTCTAACGTCTCAAACTTACCTAGGTGCTCATTTAACTAGACTCATTTCTTGAAACCTAATAATAATTCAAATTACAATATTGTGAATAAATATTGTCTTAATAAACCGCTTTGAAATGATAACTGGAAGGTGTATTCATGAATAGGAGTTTTCAGTACATGGGGCAGGTAAAGGAAGGCTGCTTTTGCCTGCCCCGTTGAAGGAGTTCACCTGATCTTTCGGTCCGTGTACAGCGCTGAGGGTGTCCAGTCACACTGAGCCATCTCCCATCCCGTTCTTTCAAGACTGGATAGAGGCTGTTTGAATTGATGACAGTTTTTAATCTGCTAGGACTAGAGCCCACATTTTAGCAAGTGAATATGGAGTGTATCAGGTTGTGATCTGGTTGCTCCTGAGTTTTTCACATTACACTGGGTGTTCGCTAAAATACCACCTCTGTACCCTGGCTCTTTGCACATTTGCAAACGAGAATGATCGAGCTAGTGTGCCTGGTGGTACAGAGATGTGCATGGAATGAGCCGTCAGTTTCATCAGCTCAGAACTATTATTGTGCCCAAAAACAGTGCTTTGGAAGCCAGAGAGGTGGAGAATCACGTCTTTGGAGGTGTCATTAAGGGTTTAACTCCAGAGTTAATGGAGTTAACCTGAGTGTCTGGGGCCGCTCTTCTAATCGGTCTTTACTGCCACCTGGTGGTCACTGGGGTCGAGCCCTTAAAGCTTTTCCACCCCTCCATCTCCACCCAGCAGGTGCCCGTGCGGCTGTAGGTGACTTGGGAGAGGACTTTCTCTCCCTGGAAGCCTGCCTATTTTATTTTAACCAGTTCATATTCTCTCTGCTGGTATCACGCAAATCCTCTCCACACGTCCATCCCGCTGCTCTGCCCTCATCCGTTTCATAGCCGTGCTAGGTGTGATGAGGCCACGTCCGAAGGGGGAGCTTTTGAACGGGGAGAGGAGGAAACACCTTTTCCACGTGAACAGTGCCGGGAGCTGCTTGCCCTTCCCTTCACCATCTGCCCACTGCCCTTTCTTTCCCTCAGGACCGAGCATCCTGCTGCCGGCTTTCTTTGCCGCCCAGGGTCCTGTGTGGGACTGAGGAGGGCCGTGAGCTCATGAGGATGAAGACGAGGGCTGGTCAGGGGAGAAGACTGTGCTGGCAGGCTTTCCTTTTCCCCTGCAATTGCTGATAATGGCTTTGTCCTCCTTAGTGACTTTTTAAAGACTTATTATTTGGAAGTAATTATTCAGGAGTAAGTTTAGACTTTAGGCAAAGTTGCAAAAATAGTACAGAGGGTTCACATACATACATACATACATACACATACACATACATCCCTCCTGTAACTTCTCCTCATGCTGGCCTCTCCATAACCATAGCACAGCGACCCAAACCAGGAAGCTAACAGCGGTGCGAGGCTAGGAGCCAAAGGCCAGGCTCAATCAGATTTCACCACTTCGTCCACAATTGTCCTTTTTTGTTCAGGAACCTGGTCCAACATCCCATGTCACGTTTCGTTGCCCCGTCTCCTCCATTATCCCCCAGTCTGTGACAGCCCCCGTGCTTTCCCTGTCTTTGATGACCTCGATATTTTTGAAGAATGATTTAGTGGGATGTCAGTTGTTTGGTAGCACACTCTTGCACTTGGATCCGTTGGGTATTTTCCCATGATTCGATTGCGGCTCTGCAGTACTGGGAAGAACACCCCAGAATGATCTGTCCTTCTCAGTGCATGGATGGGGGTACCTGACGACAGACGTCTTACCACTGGTGATGTGATCCCTGGCCATTTGTCTAAGGTGGTATCTGCTGGATTGTACATTGTAAAGTTACCGTTTTTCTCCTTGTGATTTTAAAATATCTTAGGTGAGATACTTTGAGACCATGAAAATGTTGTCTTGTTCCTCGACTTTTGCCCACCAATTTTAGCATCCTGCAGGAGGTCTTGCCTGTAGCAATTATTTCTATGTTGTTCTGATGGTGACTTTCTATTTCCCTCATTAATTCTATATTTAGGTTTCTAATGGTCTAACTTTTAGTAATATCATAAAATGGTTTAGCAGTATTTCATTTCAGCAATATTTATTGAGCACTGTTCTATCCACTATATTCTAAGCACTGTTCCCTCCACTGTCATGGGGTACAGGAATGAACAAAACAGGCAGAAGTCTTTGCCCCCAGAGGGGGGGGTGGGGGACAAATAATAACCATAGTACAGAAGAAAACAGTACAGTATGTTAGGAGATAATAAATGGTATGGGGAGCAATCATGCTGTGTAAGGGGTTAGGGAGACTGTACACAGCTAAATGTTAAAGCAGTAAAAATAAAATTCCCATTGAACATTCTTAAGAGTATTAATATGCTGTCGTGTCAGGACCGGTCACCAGACGTTCGAGGTGCACAGAGGGCTCGCCTTGCAGTCCATTGCTGTGGGGGACGTGGGGAGAGGAAAGGGATTAGAAGGCACAGGTGGTATTCTCGAGGAGTCTGGAGTCTGAACCCACGTGCTGCTTCTCCCTTCTCTCTTACTCCACTAGCACTTGCCCTTGTGTTGAGCTGGCCCCATGTAATCAGTAGGTCCATACGCCATCCATACAACACTCTCAATTCCTGCCTTCCCTATTTCAGATGGGGGAACGGAGAGACCCATCCTCCCTCGTTGGACGTTGTCAATCTCCCGTGAATAACGTGGGTGTAGAATTTGGCATATTCCTAGGTACTTAGAGATCTGTGAGTGCAATGTTCTTTGGCCCACGAGGAAATGGATCCAAGGAAGTCTGGCAATTGAGCTCAGATCGTACCATCATTAGTGCAGAAGACAGAAGGGGAGACTCCGGTCCCCAGCTCACACGACCTCACTGCACAACCTGAGGCTCTTAGAACCCTTCACAGTGTTGGCGACTGAACACCCATGTGTCTCTGCTGCAGGTGGTCAACAGAGGGGACCCCTATCCTCAGGAGGTGGGCGCCACTGTGCAGAGAGTCATGGATAAGCTGGGTTACTCCAATCCCTACCGACTGGTTTGGCAGTCTAAGGTAGGTGGTTTCCACATGCTTGCGGGCAGTCAGCAATTTTGAGGACGTCTATTTTAGGACTTACTTATAAAATGATTAGGTTTGGCTCTTTCATAGACACAGAATGTTCTATAACGTGGTGGCTCACCATGAGCAGAAGGAACTCTGCAAGCAGGTGAAATGGAGGGGAAATCAAGTGACTAGTTGAATTTCATTGATTTAATGTATTATTTTTAGTTGTAATGACAGAAATTGTGATTTATTTATATTATGCCAACTTCAAGAAGGATTCAAGCTTAATATAGAAATATCAAAACCCACTAATGCAGATGTAAAGCATGGCCCTCACTCTTACTGGGAGTGGTGGTGTGTGTGTGTGTGTCCGGAGCAGTGGGCCGTGGTGTGCCTTCCATCCTCCTTTCTCACAGGTTGGTCCGATGCCCTGGCTGGGCCCTCAAACAGATGAGACTATCAAAGGGCTTTGTGAGAGGGGGAGGAAGAACATTCTTTTGGTTCCAATAGCGTTTACCAGCGATCACATTGAAACGCTGTATGAATTGGACATCGAGTACTCTCAAGTTCTAGCTAACGAGGTAAGTGTGATTATTAATCCCATTCACAAACTGATTTGTTTTCAAAGGAAACTTTCTCTGCAACGATTGTATCCTTGTATTTGTACAAGGATTTGTAATTGTATCCTTCAGAAATATTGTTCAGTGGTTAGCAGAGGGCTGGTGGGTGGGGGATGAGTGAAGTAGGTGGAGGAGTTCAAAGTACAACCTGTCTTGATGAGCACTAACATGCAGAACTGTTGAATCACTGTATTGTTTATCTGAAACTAATAGAACACAGTGCGTTAACTTTACTGGAATGTAAACAGAGATTTGTTACATTGTTCACTACACCTGTTGGCAGGTACCCCGGCCTCATTATTCTGAATAATACTTAACCTGAGTTAATCTGAACACATCAGGGTAACCCACACCAGCCATGGGAAAGCACTTTTGTGCCTTTGTGAAACCAGGTTCCCAGGCATCACTGCGAGCAGCATCGTTTTGTCTAGTTTGAGTTACTATACTACCTGGAAGTGATAAAACTACATTTTCTTAAGAAAAAATAATTGTTCTTCTCACCAATTTGGAGGAAAAGAATTGTACTGTGCTATCATTCCTTTTCTTGGCCTGATGGTGCCCTTTCCTTGGGGCTTTTACACTGGTTCTTGGTGGATTTTGAGGCATAGAAGAGGCATTGTCATTTAGAAGACTGTGGAATGAACACTGAAGCAGTATGTGTTATAATTCCCTTGACCTCTTTCACACACTCAATTAGCTGTTTGCGGTGGTGTTGTGATCAATCTGATTATTGAAATAACAAATACCATCCTTAGTGTCTTGTAATGTAAGATGGATGTAAATTATCATTCACAGTGGAGAAAAACTTACTGTTCACCCATCTCATGGCTTCAGAGGGCCGGCCTGAAACCTGAATCCAATTTATAACATTGTCTCTGTGGGAATTGTGGAAGCTCCGGGACCCACAAAACCCTTCCTCCTCTCATCTTCTGCCAGAACTGCTGATCCTGGTCCTCCCCAGGCATGATTGATGGAGGCCTGGCCTCAAAGGATACTTCACCCTCTCTGGGACTGGGTGGCAGGTGCAGGGCAGGGTGAGAGTGGGTTGGGGACAGCTTTGGCCAGCACCCAACCCCACAGGTTTTTGTTTATGCATGCTGGTCATCAATCAAACGGTGAGGAAGTTAGAGGGTGCGTAAATTACTTGTCAACAGTTCTGATACAGAATTTATGGCGAAGTTGTAATTGGCTAAAGTGAGGTTGCAGGGTTGTCTGTGGATTCCACGTAACGGTGCCTTCCATATCCCACGCTGACTTTGGGTAACTGTGAGCTTACTAAAAAGACTTACATGCAGATATAATTCATTCCAGTGTGTTTAGAAAATAAGGTTTTGTTTGTATTGAATGATAATTCACATTCATTAGTATCACTAAACCAAGGTTATTCCTCAGTAATCAACTGGATTATTAGTGACTAATAAATTAGCCCGCAGAGGGAATAAAGAAAACCATCCAGCTACAGTTTATTCCATTGTTTTGATGGAAGAATATACTGTGTTTAAAACGACTTTCTTTAAAAAGTAGTTTGAATTTTTTCCTAAGATGAAATTACTGCTTTTCGATAATACAAATAATAAAGAGCTCAGACAATTCAGAGAGGTATCCCATAGAGAGTAGAGCTCACTCAGACTCTTACCCCTGAGAGGGGCGCCTGCGTGGCCCAGTCAGTTGGGTGTCTGACTCTTGATTTTGGCTCAGGTTCTGATCTCAGGGTCGTGAGATCGAGCCTCGAGTCTGGCTCTGTGCTGAGCGTGGAGCCTGCTTAGGATTCTCCCTCTCCCCCTCCGCCATCTTCCTCTCTGTCTCTTTAAAAAAAAAAAAAAAAAAAAAAAAGAATCTTACCCCAAGAGATAAGTTACTATTTTGATAAAAATTAGTCCCCTTTTTTCTCTAAATGTATGTGTACTTTAAGAAAAATTGTATGCTCCTACACGCTTATGAATAAAATACCATTTTTGCATGGTATTTTACACATGTATTTATACAAAACAGTAACTTTTTTCCCCCCTTAAAAATATGTTATGGACCTAAATCAATAAATGTAATTAGATCTGTGTAATTAATTAATTTATTTACGATTTTATTTATTTTTTTGATAGAGAGACACAGCAAGAGAGGGAACACAAGCAGGCAGAGTGGGAGAGGGAGAAGCAGGCTTCCCAAGGAGCAGGGAGCCCAATGCGGGGCTCGATCCCAGGACCCTGGGACCATGACCTGAGCCGAAGGCAGACGCTTAATGACTGCCTTAACAGGCGCCCCTATATAATTATTTTATTTTATTTTATTATTATTTTTTAAAGGTTTTAATTTTTTTTTTAATCTTTTTTTTTTAATTCATGAGAGACAGAGGGAGAGAGAGAGGGAGAGAGAGAGAGAGAGAGAAGCAGAGGGAGAAGCAGGCTCCCAAGGGGCAGGGAGCCGGATGCGGGACTCGATCCCAGGACCCCGGGACCATGACCTGAGCTGAAGGCAGACGCTTAACCATCTGAGCCACCCAGGCGCCCTATATAATTATTTTAAATGAATCCTTGATCAGTATATATTTAAGATGTTTCCAACATTGTACTTTCCTAAACTGCTCTGTAATAAACATCATTTTCTTTTCCTTTTTCCAATTAATTTCTTAGGAAAAATTCCTACAAATGGAATTTAAATCTTGGTAGATGTTTTACTGGATTGCCCTACAGAGGTGTATCCTTGGACTCTCCCATCCATAGTCTTCAAGAACACTGCCGGCATTGGTTGTCCTGCTGTCACTGACTTCTACATGGAGTCTTAGAGGACAGTCTCTACGGTCTCTTTTTTCCTTTTTTTTTTTAAGGTTTATTTATTTGAGAGAGAGCGCTTGCGAGCATGCTTGTGTGCATGTGAGGGGGGAGGGGCAGCGGGAGAGGGAGAGAGAATCTCAAGCAAACTCTCTGCTGAGGCTGGAGCCTGATACGGGGTTCGATCTCATGATCCTGAGATCATGACCTGAGCCAAAATCAAGAGTCGGACGCTTAACCAACTAAGTCACCCAAACACCCTGAATACAGCTTCTTTGTAGGTTGAGAACTATGTGTTTGCTGAATCTCACCGTTTTTCCCATGCTGATTAAAGTTAACTTAAAAGATAAAGCAACTGAAAGCCATTGGCATTTTGGAAAGGGAAAGAGAAGATCTTGACTACCTGAGTGAACAATAATTAGATGTTTCTTAATTATTTGGGGGATAATCAGCTGGGTATTTTGGGGCAGGGAAGCAAGGATGATAGTAAAACAGTCCTCAAGTTTTATTTTGGGTTTTTCTATGTAAGGATATATTTAAAAACCCCACTCTGCATTGGATCCAATCTAGGTTCAATATACATTAAATTAATCTACCTCTTTTGGCAGTTGGAATCAAAACAGGCATAAAGATTTATTTAATTAAAGCAACATTCTGCTTAGGTAGAGTCTGTAAAAGTGTGCATTAGAAAGGTAGAATAAAAAAAGAATAGTAAGCAAATTTGAGTTACTTGAGAATTCTGTCAAATACAGCCTCAAAAATGGTTTGGAAACTAAACACCGATGGGGAAGGTAATAGGGTGGGGGAAGGAATAGAAATTGAGAGCAGTTTTGTGATAACAGAGGTGAAAATCTACATCTGTGTCTGGGCCTGGGACTGTTTTCGTTTCTGAGCCATCTGGGAACACTTTGGAAGTCAAACTTTAAGTTGTGTATGTATCTAAGTCCGTTTGTTTATTTATTTATTTATTTATTTATTTATTTATTTATTTATTATGTATTGTAGCAGTTTCTTTAAAAAAAAATGGAAAATAAAACGTGTATGTGTTTTTCCTTTTTCTCATTTGATTCAGTGTGGAGTGGAAAACATCAGAAGAGCAGAGTCTCTTAATGGAAATCCATTGTTCTCCAAGGTATCTGTAGTGTTACAACCATTTTAGTAGAACATATCGGAGAGAAATCCTCTGAGAAGCTCTTACAGAATATTGGTTTTCTCACATATTAGAACATTTTGAGTTCCAATTAATTACAAAAATAAAATCGAATTCCTTATACTCTTGCTCCTTCTTCCTTTAGAGAGCCCCAATTTTCTTATTTCTACCCACCTATAACTATGTCTAATTCAAGACCTGCCTTCCAGAGGTGGGGTTTAGCAGGTGGGGTGACAGGATGTCCTCTCAAATCTCTGTTCTAAGTTTTCTCTAAGCCGAGGATCCTTAGGAAATGAAGGTGTCAGAGAACCCAGTTCAAAGCAGTCATAATTCAGACGAAAAAAGCAACCCTCAGCCCTAGTGATGGGAGGGGGAGATGCACGGGGAGACAACAGACGTTTTGCTTCTGAGAAATCTCTGCTTCCTGTCGCCCGTCTTGCAGGCCCTGGCCGATCTGGTGCTGTCACACATCCAGTCCAACGAGCTGTGCTCCAAGCAGTTGACCCTGAGTTGTCCACTCTGTGTAAATCCTGTCTGCAGGGAGACCAAATCCTTCTTCAGCAGCCAGCAGCTGTGACCCCCGCCAGAGGACCCCCCGGGATTAGGCAAATGCCCAACCCCCAGACGCCACTGTTGTGGAGGAGATGCATTTAGAGGTCAAGGAAGAAAGTTTCACTGGCATCTGTACAGCCTTTGGGTAAAAAGTGTGTGATTTCTTGAGGAACAGACTCTGAAATCCTTACTGGGGTGTTCTATTTTTATACACCAATACAGTAAGCACATATACTCCCCCTCTGTGGGTAAAGTTACCAGTTTGGAATGTCCACTGGGCTATTTAAAAAATGAGTTTTAAAAATTTATCTTAATAGATGCGCACATATTTTAAATATAGATTTTGGTTTTATTGCCCCAAAACCTTGCAAGGATATCAAGAGTCCCCTTTGTGCGCTGTCAGTGTGAATGAGCTCTGTTTACAGTCTTGTGCATGTAGTTAGTTGTCCTTGTATTTTAAGGGAACATAGATGAGTGAAGGAAATATAATTTGAAAAGGAACTCTTACCTGATCTTTCCCTAAGCCCATGGGGCACAGAATGCCGGTGAGGCGGTGTGGTTGCCCATAGCGGCTGCTTTTGCCAGTGATGTCACCCTTAGGTGGTCACTTCGGTACTTCTGTGTGAACCTCACTTTCTTCACCCTAAAACCAAATCAAGTACAGATTCCAAAAGTGCTTTGCGATTCCCCAGGCACAGAAGGCTAATAAACATGTAGAAATCCAGCATTTATCATCCATGCCTTGGTGAGGATCTGTGGTGCCACAGGAAAGGGGTCTCCCGCTGCTTCCTGTCTCCAAGGCCAGTGAGGCCGGAAGTGCTAACGATGGGCTTCATCTGTAAAGCTCGTCCCAGGACCTAGTGAACCTTTCCATGGAGCATCTTCTTTATTTTGGTTGAATGTCTTCTTTCTGCCTATTTGTTTGAAGCATTATTTTATAAAGTCAACTATGTTTTGTAATCTTGAATTCTTTCTTAACTTACAATTTTTATTATAAAAATTATATGACCCTCCTATTGGAAATTTGAAAAATAGAGAAAAGAGAACAACTCTAACGTAACAGCTATTAATCATGTTATTATATCTCATGCCATTCCTTTCCTGTGGATATTTTTAACGCCATTGTAACCTTGAATTTGTGAGTGAAAAGTTGTTCTAAAAATGTAGAAATGATGTAAGATCAGAATCTGATCTCCTATACGTGGATTTAAATGGATTAAAAAAATCTCTGATGGATCCATAATGAATTTGTAATGATTACCTTCTCTTTCCTCCAAGCTCTAATCAGAAGAGCATGTCTTTGATGTTTTTGAAGCCAGTTTATAAACTGGAAGTATTAGAGGAGTCATAGATCTTCTATATTCAGGATTTACTATATTAATAAATATTATCACATCATTAAGGTTTTAACCACTTTATTCATGCTCTCTGTGAAATCAAAACTAATGCAAGTTAGTTAATCAAAATTATTATAGGAGGAATTTCCTTTGGAATACAATAAAAGAAATGTGCTGCTCATTTTAGTTAATAATTTTCCCACACTGATAACAGCTCTGAAATTTGAGTAACAGGTGCATTTTTTTTCCAAATTGGTTTTCCTGTTAATAAATTGTGTTTCCAGAGAAAGGTACAAGGCATGGATAGTTGGCTATTTCCGTCAGCTTTGGGGGATTAGCTTCAAGGTAGACGGGGTGACCATCCCACAGTGAAGTGAATGCTCTGGGTTAGTGGGATGGCCCTGGAAGGCAGAATAGGCCTGCAGGCTTTCTCCCTACGGCACATCTGCTGAGGGCCTGCTTCACTTCGACTGTATTACACAGATGTTACAGAAAACTCTGATTCGAGAGTCTTTTTTTTTTTTTAATTTTTTATTGTTATGTTAATCACCATACATTACATCATTAGTTTTTGATATAGTATTCCATGATTCATGGTTTGTGCTCTTTTTTTTTTTTAAGATTTTATTTATTTATTTGTCAGATAGAGAGGGGAGGGGAGCGGGGGAGGGAGAACAGGCTTCCCACTGAGCAGGACCCTGGGATCATGACCTGAGCCGAAGGCAGATGCTTAACGACTGAGCCACCCACGTGCCCCCAATTCAGGAGTCTTGCTAGGATATCTGAAACCCCTCATTTGCTAAGGAAACCTCTGAATCAACAGTGACTGGGCTGTCTGGAAGAATATCCTTGATTGTGAGCAGGACCAGACCAGCCCTTGTAGTGAGAGGCCAAGGGGGTGTTACTGGGATCCCTGCTCATGGCATGCGTTGTCCTGAGAAGGGTTACCTGGGACTGTTGTTAACCAAAGATGGATAAGGGTCACACTCGAGGGGGGCATGTGGTAGGACAAAATCCACCATTGTTCTCGGAGCTGATAGTCTTTGAGAATGGTGATACTCTTTGTCAACTTTGAAATCCACATGGTTGCCCAGTAATTAGCCTGGGCACTGCTGGCAGTGCCTTCTTAGGAACAGACCTGGCTTTAACTGATGGATCAACCCGGACAGGAGATTTGCTGTGACGAGGAGGCAGGGCGGCCTCCCAGGGTCCTTGGAAGGCCCAGCTCCCTGGACGGACAGCACAGAAGGAAGGAATGCTCCCAAAGAATCTACATTCTGGAACTACTTACCTTTTTTAAATTCAAAGAAATGTTTGCACTCGAAGAAGATTTAGTCCACTTGAGGAGCAATGAAACTCCTTGTTAAAGGCCCTATAAATGTCTCTCAGTGACTTGTTGGTACTGACCACATAGGGACCCCTCATGCCTTCCCGATAGTACCTCAGAGGACACATCCTTGCTCAGTAATCCCATGAACAGAATGTTACATTTCTCTAGGATTCTGTCAAATTTTTCTGTATGACTGAAATTATTGAGACAGGGATGGCTCTGTAGATAGGAAAAGAAAGGGGATTTTTCCACTCCAAGTTGCCCAAATTAAGCCTGTCAGAAGGGACATTAGATCCACAATCCTAAAGTCATTTTAGGTCCCAGAATAGGGAACCGCACGGGTCGACAGTCCTAGAACTCTGTTGTGTTCAGTCCTCCATCCTGGGGGTGGGAGGGTGTGGGGGGAAGGGGCCAGCTTGTATAGCTAGAGCCAGAGGGCAGCAGTTAAAGCCGGCTGCCGGAGCAAGAACTCATGTCTGTGTGCGCTCATGTGTGGATGCAGGGGCATTAAGCGGGGGGCCTCGGAACCCATCTTTAGTACCTTGTCTCCAAGCTCTTAACCTAGCCTGAGAAACCCCTTCTGCCAGAATCCTGGAGATGGCACAGGAACATGCTTCCCAACACTGAATGGAAGTGGGAAACTTGTTGAGATGTCACAAGCCAGAAAAGAAAATTCTTAGCTGTCACTAAAACCAGTGCCCTGAATTAAAATCAACCAGTTTCTCGGTCTCAATAACAATATGGGGACTCCTCAGAGGAAGATAAAAGCTAACCATTCCTTTCGTTATTTCTAAAAATTATAAAATTAAAAACATGTCATCAAGGTCATGCCCCAGAAAGGCTTTGTAAATATTCTCAGGAGTTTTGTTCTAATTGCCTAATAATTGAGATTCCTTTGTAACAAGTGCCTTCAGTAGCTTCCCAGGCCAGGTGTGGCTTTTTGGGCCACATTTTATTTTATAGAAACTAGCGTCATAAGGTTTCAGAGTCCATACATCAAATGGATTGAATCTGAATCAAGAAACCTGCATTATGCTTGAATCGTTGCCAGTTAAAATATTTAATCATGCCGTAATTGTGCCGAGTGTGCTTACCTAGCCAGAATTCCTGGTAAATTCAAACGGTGGCACCTGAAAACTTTTGATTTTTGTTTTTTGGGGGTTTTTTTTTGCTAGATGTCTTCCAGCTGGACAATTGTGTGGTATGACTACTATCTGATCTTTGCCTAAAATGTTGTGCCTCTTTTCAAAATCCACTTACTTTGGAAAGGATAAAATGTGCCAAGCTAGACAGCACCCAGCGGAGTTGTGGGGACTGGTGGATGCTCGAGAGAAATAAGGTGATGTCGTTAATATTTGCCGCGTGGCCCTACTATGACCAGCAGGAGCCCATGGTGCATCACTCCCTGCGCTAGCTGAGTCTTCAGAGAGCTCTGAGGGGGTAGATGCCCCCTAGAGAACACATTCATAACCTCAGGTCCCAGGGGAGGAAGAAAGCCTTTTGCTCTTGCTGTGGGAATCTTAGTAAGCCTTTCTACAGGGAGAAGGACATGGAAAACAAACGCAGCCGGTGATAATCAGTTTCTTACGATATACTTTGATAGTAGTGGCTTAGTTGTTTTTAGCTGAAATCATTAGCTTCCATTTTTAGTAGAACAAACTACCGGCTAAGTTAGTTGACAGTAAGCCATTAAGATGGATGTTGGAATTAAAAACATTTTTTGGAAAGGGTGCCTGGGTGGCTCAGTTGGTTAAGCGACCGCCTTCAGCTCAGGTCATGATCCTGGAGTCCCAGGATCGAGTCCCGCATCGGGCTCCCTGCTCAGCAAGGAGTCTGCTTCTCCCTCTGGCCCTACCCCTTCTCATGCTCTCTCTGTCTCTCAAATAAATAAAATCTTTTTTTAAAAAGATTTTATTTATTTATTTGACAGAGAGAGCGAGAGAGCACAAGCAGGGGGAACAGTAGAGGCAGAGGGAGAAGCAGGCTCCCTGCCAAGCAGGGAGCCCGATGCGGGGCTCGATCCCAGGACCCTGAGATCATGACCTGAGCCGAAGGCAGACACTTAACCATCTGAGCCACCCAGGCGCCCCTCAAATAAATAAAATCTTAAAAAAAATTTTTTTTTTTGAAAAAAGCCTGGTTGGAGCCTTTGTTCTAAGCCCTTGGGCAGGAATTGGGTCCTGTTTCTGGTTGCTTGAGAGCTGTCACTCCGACGTTCCGGGCACACACTCAGCCTGCCGCTCCTGGTGTGGGAACACACAGGTCAACTTTTCTGCTTGCAGTCTCCCCTGTGGAGCAAAGCTTTACTTGCCTGACATGTTAAGAAACAATAGATTTTACCCTGAGAATTCATGAAGTAGTCTGTATTTTTACCTTTTCCTTAGGGTGGAAAAATTATCTATCTATCTATATATGTGTGTATATATATATATTATCGACAGAATACAAGCTATCTATCTATCTATCTATCTATCATCTATCTATCTATCAACAGAATACAAGCCGGGGTATGCAGGCCGATAATTAAAATGTCAGTTTGTTAAACAGCAATTGTTAAAAATTCTCTATCTTAAATTATATTAAAACCAAAAGTAACAAATATTCAAAATTCATCACTTCTCAATTCTTTTACCCCATTTTATTATGGTTGTTATTGCAGTCATTTACGTTTATTGTGCTATCTGGTGGAAATACTATATAGGATGAGTTACTGTTCCTCTCTTTCCAAGTTGGTGCAGTGACATCGTGGTAGCTTGCAATGGGTTGTGATGGGGGCTATTTACACTGTGGAAATCAGCAAATACTATAAATTAGGACTTGACTTGTTGA